CGGTAGAGGGTTTGATTCCTGGTCAGGGCACATGCAAGAATCAATGAATGGCCCTCGCTGGTTCTGCTCAGTGGATAGAGCATTGGCCTGTGGACTGAAGGGCCCCAGGTTAGATTGCGGTCAAGGGCATATACCCAGGTTGTGGGCTCGATCCCCAGCAGGGGGCATGCAGGAAGCAGCCAATCAATGACTGTCTCATCACTGATGTTTCTATCTCGCGCTCCTTCTCCCTTTCTCTCTGAAATCAATAAAACTACATTTAAAAAAAGAGAAGAGAATTAGCTTTAAAAAATTCAATAAAAATATTTTTTAAAAAAGAATCATTGAATGAACGCATAAATATGTGGAATAACAAACTGATATTTCTCTCTATCTCCTTTCCCCTCTCTCTAAAAATCAATTTTAAAAATATTTTTTAAAAAAGAGAGAGACACGGGAGATTTGACAGACAAGAGAGGAGAGACCGAGGGGCAGAGATTGGAGGGATGCAGCTGCCAGCCAAGGAATGCTGGGAGCTGCCAGAAGATGGAAGGGGCGAGGCACAGATGCTCCCTTGTGCCCTCAGAGGAGCCTGGCCCTGCCAGCACCTTGATCTTGGACTTCTGGTCTCTGGAACTTCGGGAGAATAAATTTCTCTTGTTTCAGGCCCCCCAGTTTGTGGTAATTGGTTATGGCATCCACAGGAAGCCAGTACAGGTGATATACACGTGTGGTTCAAGTCTCAAAACAACCTAAAATGTAAACATTGAGGAATCTAGCTCTTCTAGGCAACTGCTTTTATTAGGTTCTTCTTTACTTGTCCAGGGTTCTTCATAGAGATATAAGAGCATGTTTCTGCCATGTTTAAGAATGATATTTTAAATATCTTCCTGTGTCACTCACTATACTTAGATATGCACTCACTTGGCCTGGCCCCTGGGCCCTGGGCCCTGTCCCTCACCCCCCACTTCACTCCAGGCTGCAGCACCCCACCCCGTTTCCTTGCATGAAGATCTCACACTCCTCCTGCCTCAGCCTGACTCCCCAGCTTGCTCCAGCCTGACCCTCAGACCCTTTAGTCCCCACTGCCTTCCTGTCATCAGTTCTCGCTGAAAGGTCACCCCCCGGGAAGCCCTCCCTGACCTCCCAATCCTCATCCTGTTACTCACTGTGCACTTGAGTTCACTTGCTTTCTTGCAATTTGTTGCAATCTAACATCATCTTGACCAGCATGTTGGTTTTCTTGTTTGTGTCTGTCTCCCTCTCCAGTGGTTCTCAACCTGTGGGTCGCGACCCCTTTGGCGGTCAAAGGACCCTTTCACAGAGGTCACCTAAGACCATCCTGAATATCAGATATTTATATTACGATTCACAGCAGTAGCAACATTACAGTTATGAAGTAGCAACGAAAATAATTTTATGGTTGGGTCACCACATGAGGAACTGTATTTAAAGGGCTAGAAGGTTGAGAACCACTGCGAGTCTAGACTAAATTTGAGGAGCTGGAATTTGGTTTGTTTACGCCTCCATCCTGGACCTTAAACAGTGCCTGGCACGTAGGAAGCCCTCCGTAAACATTTGTGGAATACAGGGATTAAACCTAAAGGCCGCCTACTTTCTAGGAACTGGGACGCACACTAAAGAAGGGTTCCTAGAGTCCACGGACCCTCTAGTACAGAGGTTCTCCACCTGTGGGTCGCGACCCTTTTGGGGGTCGAACGACCCTTTCACAGGGGTCGCCTAAGACCATCGGAAAACACATATATAATTACATATTGTTTTTGTGATTAATCACTATGCTTTAATTATGTTCAATTTGTAACAATGAAATTGGGGGTCACCACAACATGAGGAACTGTATTAAAGGGTCGCGGCATTAGGAAGGTTGAGAACCACTGCTCTAGTATATTGTGTTTTGTGTGGACATGCATGGTTTTCATGGAGATGGCTGACAGCTTTTATTAGATTTTTAAAGGGGTCCTGACCCCAAAGACATGGTGGGGTCTTGAAATCAGGGCTCAGTTGTGCAGGAAGGGAAACAAGCTTAAAAATTCAGTCCCCAAGGCCTGCTGGGGGTCTGGGGCATATGTATCCAGCCTAGAGGAAGGAACCCACGGAAGCCAGGGCTACTATTTGTATCTCATGGGCAGTGGAGGAACCAGGGGAAATGAAAAGGCTTTCACTTCAGCAAGGGAAGGACCTCCACGCTGACCGAGACCATGGCGATGACTGGGGAGGTGGGAAGGTTCTTGTCACTGGAGGTATGCAAGCACATGTGCATGCCTCTCTGTCAGAAATGGTTCTGGGATGAGCAGGCCAGGGAAACACACGGTCCTGGGAGGTAGGAGTGTTACATGGTCTGGGTCAGAGGGGACAGCCTCTAAGTTAACGGAGCTGTGGGTCCTTCCAGCCTTCCACAGGCTAGAGTACACCTGACATGCCTCTATCCCCAGAGTGAGTTCATTTGAGTGCCATTCCCATATTTCACATACAAGGAGCAAGTCTGGACTAGGTTGGTTTCTACTTTGCCTGCTCCCATGACCCTGAGAGGGGCGGTCTGGATGAAAAATGCAAGGACAGGCCTGGATCCCCTTTTTTGGCCACTGTCCTTTCGGAGCAATGACCTTGGCTTACACGGGCTGCCAGCTGGCCAGACTGTCCTCCTCTGGCCTCCCCCAGCTGCCTCATGGTCAGCAGCTTTCTTTTAGGACCAGAGCACCTCATTCCACATCCTTTATCTGGATCATCAGACCACATCCTACTGCAATTTCAGGGCGCCCTTCCTGCTGTCTGCTTCTGAGAGAGGCAGCTCTCAGGGAGCCCAGAAGCCTTCTCCTTGAAGCAGGAAAAAATCTCCACTGAGTTTCCGTGGGGCATACCAGGAGGCAGGAGATGGTCCCTCCAGAGAGGCTGTTGGCTCTGGGGCTCGGATTGGACAATGCTGTCTTCAGGCTCCGAAGGGAGATGGCTGGCCTGGGGCTGGGGCTGGGGCTGGTGCTTGCTTCCTAATGCAGCTGCTTAGCAGTTACGGGACCCCAGACACATGTATAATGCTCTGAACTGCTCTCCATCTGCACCAGGACAACAAGACTCACACAAACCAATCTCTGACTCTCACAAACCAGATTCAAAGTGCCAGGCACAGAGTAAGAGCTCAATAAGCAATAGGTGTATTATTACTGCTATTATTGTTTTAATAGGTATTGCTTGACCTCTCTGGGCCTTGGCAAAAGTATGATGACGATATGCATCTCAGAGCAAGGATTAAGTGAGGTCGTGGGATGAAAAGTGCATTTCGAGATGTACAATCCTGACCAGGAACAACCGGTTGCTGTGACAGACACTGACCACCAGGGGGCAGACACTCAACGCAGGAGCTGCCCCCCTGGTGGTTAGTGAGCTCCCACAGGGGGAGCTCCGCTCAGCTATAAGCCGGGCTGACAGTTGCAAGCGCAGTAGCGGTGGTGGCAGTGCATGAATTTTTGTTCACCAGGCCTCTAGTTAATAATAACACAAAGTCCTTATAAGTAAAGAAGCCTGATTTTCCAGGATTGATCACAAGAGGGCACCATCTCCCTTCCCCAAGTCTTGCCCCGGGGGCCACTCTCCCAGGAGGGATCTGTTGCTGGCCTCCCTCACTGCTGCAGAGCCTGGGACTAGTCCTGGGGATCTGTCACTGGACCTGTTCCTGGGGTGCCAGTTCCTTCTCCCCATGGGACGGAGGCCCTTGGCACAGCATTTAGGAATGTGTTACTCCTTTAGGGCTGTGCTGAGAAATGGTCTCAGCGCTGACATTCTGCAAAGGGAGTGCCGAAGCCCAGACTGGTGCGTGCCAAGGAGTCTGTCCTCACAACCACACCCTCACGGACCTCGAGGTCCTCAGAGGTGAAGTGCAGGCACAGGTGTCCTCTCAGCTTGTTCTGGGGCACGAAGGAGGACGTGGGGAGCCGGGGGACCCGGGTACCGTCCTGTAAGAGGTTGTCAGGCTGTTGGGTTTTTCCTGGAAATGTAGCAGAACTTGGAGGATCCTGCCAGAGGTGGGGGACCTGTGTTTAAAATGTCCCCACGTGTTGGCCATGATGCCTATGGGACAGCTGAAGTCCAGAGTTCACTCTGAACCCTGATACCCATGTGGGGTGTGATTTCAGACTCTCTTATGTAACCTGGTCAGTCACACCTTTGGGACTGAAGATGAGCGGCTGCTGTGTGGCTGGGCCCTGGGTGCTCCTGGCTCTTACCTGGGTCCCACCCTAATGGACCGTACGTACCTCCCTCCTCTAACCCTCCACAGTGGGTATTCCCAGACTTGTCATGGCATCTCCCTGGGGCTTCCGACTCCCCTGTATCCTGATTGCTGTCTGTGCTGGTCTCTGGAAAGTCTGGCAATGTGAAGGCTCCCGGGGTTCTCTGGGGAGCAGGGGGCTGTTATGCACTAAGTGGGGACCCCCCCAACCAAATTCATGTTGAGGTCCTAACACCCAGCACCTCAGCATGTGACTGTATTTGGAGACAGGGTCTTTGAAGAGATAATGAAGGTTAAATGAGGTCATTAGCGTGGGGCCTAGTCCAATGTGACTTGTGTACTTACGGGAAGAAATTAGGACGCAGACACGCAGAGTGAAGACACAGGGAGAAGACAGCCATCTACAAGCCAAAGAGAGTGGCCTTGGGAGAAACCAACCCTGAGACCCTGGATCCTATTCTTCCAGCCTCCAGAACTCGGAGGAAGTAAACTTCTATGGCTTAAGCTGCCAGTCTGTGGCACCTTTTGTGACAGTCCTAGCAAACTAAAATAGGCATTGTCAAAGTCCCAGTGGAGAGAAAAATAGGTGGAACTGTAAATGTATTTAAAGAAATAAGTACATAAATTTGGTGAAATGTATATAATAACATAGAATAGTTGAAAAATTCCCAAACTTGATAAAAAGATATAACCTACAGATTCAAAAAGCTTAGTAAATCCCAAATAGCCCCCCGCCCGCACACACACATTTCCCTCCCTCTACCACGTTCCCAGGAAGAAACAGGACACAAGTCAAGGTCCAGCACTTTATTACGGTCACAGAGCACAGGAGAGACCACTTGGGTCTCACTGAAGTCTTGTTTCCCCCCTTTCCCCAGAGGAAGTCATGGGGGACAGCCCCGCCCATCGGGCCAGGCCAGTAGGAGGAAGGGGACAAGGGCAGGTTAACAGCATCAACGCAGACTTGGTTTGGTTCCGGTTTCATGACTTACAAGCTGTGTGGTTTTTAGGCAAGCCTCTTAGTCTCTCTGAGTCTTGGCTTATTCCTCATCTGTGAAACGGAGAAGTGACAGGACCTACCTCCCTGGGTTGTTGTGAGGATTGAATGCGATAACACCCGTGACGTGTTTAGCACAGTGTCTGGGAAACTGTATGTAGTCAGTGAGTGGAACTGTTGTTATTGTTATTGTTATTATTAGGACCAAGTCATACTTCTTCATGGTCAGGCCAGCCCTGATAGGACAGCTGAAGTCACGCATGTCCACTCACTTCATAGCAACCCATTGTTCCTGGTCAGGATTGTACATCTCACCTTCAGTCCAGGTAAGAGCCAGGACTGAAGCCAGGTATAGCTTTAAAAAAATCAATATTTTAAAAAATATTTTAAAATATTTATAGTGAGTGACACAGGCAGATATTTAAAATATCATTCTTAAACATGGCAGCTGCCAGCCAAGGAATGCTGGGAGGCGCCAGAAGATGGAAGGGGCGAGGCACAGACGCTCCCTTGTGCCCTCAGAAGGAGCCTGGCCCTGCCAGCACCTTGATCTTGGACTTCTGGTCTCCGGAACTTTGGGAGAATAAATTTCTCTTGTTTCAGGCTGAATGCAGAAGAAACTCAGGTGGTCCCGTAGGGGTGTGGCAGGGCCTTGGTATTTGAGGGAAAAGGGGTCTCATACTTCAGACATGCCTTCGGTGAGGCCTGTTAGAATGACAGCCTGTGACACATGTGGAAGCCGCCTGATCCCTGGGAAGACGGGGATCAGACCCCAGACTTGAGGATTCTGGGGCCGTAGAACCTACTGTCTCTACCAACCCCATGACAAGCACCGGGAAGGGTTTGCGAAAAGTTCTATGTTCGTGCCTGGACCACTTCCAGTCTTTGGCATTCAGTCTTTAGCATACCATATGTCTATTCACAAAGTCTTTTTTTTGTGTCTTGTAGTTTTTGCTTTTGGCTAAGGAACTGCCATAGGCTACTGCACTTGGAATCAATTCCTGGCTCTGCCTTTTGTTATCTGGGCAACCTTGGGCTGGTCACTGCACCTCTCTGAGCCTCACTAGTTCCATGACCTTTAGGGAGCTTGGAAGGAGAAGCCAGGGTATGGAGGTAAAAGTGCACTGCTGATGGAAGCATCCTCGGTAATGAGATGATTGATGGGGCCACGGTGGTCACTGGTTAGTGGGGCGGAGTCTCAGGTCACTGGTTAGTGGGGCAGAGTCTCAGCATGTGCGTGCCTGTGTGAGTGGTTGTGTGCGCGCGCGCGCAGAACCCCAGTATTCCGGGAGTGGGTAGAGGCAGGCATCACCACAAGAGGGTGCTCTGGGCTTTGTTTGTCTTCTCTACCTTGGAAAAAATTTTCCTTTTTTTATAGCTGCATTCCAAAGTGATCTAAGACTCATGGTTGCTAGTTTACCTGACTGGCTTTTATAAACTTTACAAATAAATTGATGTGCATTTATTAGTTTATCAATAAGTGGATACGATACTGTGTCCCTACCATCGGCATGCTGGGAAGTGGGGCTAGGGTGGGTGGAGACGGGAAGAAACTGGTGCCTTACGGTGTCCCGGCTCCACCACTGCTCAGCTGAGTGCCTGCAGGAATTTCCCAAGAGTGCCTCAGTGGTGAAGTTCCCACACTCAGCCTCAAAGGGATGTTGTGAAATGGACCAAATGGAAAGAAAAGCAACTTAAAGGTCAAGAACACAGCCGCGAGCCCTCTTACCTCCAGTGCAGGCCTCCACTTGACCCGCATGCCGTGCTGCAGCCGAGGCCCCCGGGGGCAACTCTGGGATGGGAAGGAGGCGAATCCAGCTGTTAAGCCATGACCTCAAGAACAGTATTTCCAGGAATCCCCATCTTAGCATCTAAGGGATTCCTGGGAAAACTGGACCGTGAGGACAAGGTGAGAGTGCAGCCTTCAGCACCAAGGCCCCGCCACATCCCTACGGGGCCACCTGGAGTTTCTTCTGCATCCAGCCGATCTGCAGAAGCCAGTGTGGGCGCACCATGTATCGCAGGATGTGGCTCCAGGAGGCGTAGTGACTGGAACTTCAAGTGGCCTGGAAAGTACTTTCCCTGAGGTCAAAGGCCATGTTCTTGACCAGCATCCATCCAGCAAGCTGGCCCCACTCCCCAGGACAGCCATGAGTTGTGTGCATTCCTGAGACTCCAGCCAGGGGGAGGGTTTTACTCTAAACTAAACCAAACGGGCAGATCCGGTCCCTGGTCTCTGGCAACTTCCTCCATGGTGACCTCCAGCAAGTCACTTAACCTCGGCTTTCCTCAGCTGTAAAATGGGATAGTAGAGGACCTACCGGATTAGGTGACATAAATATAATTTAGGGGGTGGAGGCTAGGAAGAAGGGAATTGCTAGGATTGATGGAAAGTGTCTGGGTCTGTCTTTGCTAAAAGTGACCCAAGATGTAAGGAGAAGGCCAGAGCAGAGTTTATTATGTTCACCTTCAGGTCCCTGGTCCCCAGGTTTCAATGTCACCTGCACTGGGTAACAATACAGATCTTAAAGCAGACAGATTAGGCTACAACCCTGGCTCAACACTATCAAGGTGTGACCTTGGGCAAATTAGTTAAGTAGAGCCTTAGTTTTCTCATCTGTAAAATGGGCCAATAACAGTACCCACCTCCCAAGCTTATTGGAAGGGTAAATAACATTGTGCTTAGCCCAGTGATTTTCCTCTGCTGTTCCTTGCTTGTCTGAAGCCCCTAGGAGCCGGCAGGCATTTGTGAGATGTTTGGATTGGTTTTAGTCAACAGCCTGGGGCAAGGTTAGCAGCTCCAAGAGAGAAGAGCCTGGCTCAAAGCTCAGGACTTCACCTTGAGGACTGAAAGATTCTGTCGAACCCACAAACGATGGATGGGTTTCACTCTGAATCCCTGATGGGACTTAGTGTTGAGAGGGATTCTGAAGCTGCATCTGAGCGCTTCAAGAATGGACACCTTGACAGATTAGCGGGGCCCACCACAGCTCAGAAAAAGCAGAGTCAGGGTGCAGGGTAATGGCCACACTAAAAGCTCATCTTACAATGGACAGACTGTGGGGCTCAGAGCAGCCAGGACTTGCCCAGAATCGTGAAGCAGATGGTGGCATGGGTGAGACTTGGGTCCAGAAACTTCCTCAGCACAAGCCGCTGACAGTCTGGAGACCGGAAGTGTTCCTGCCCTTCCTTGGTGCCCCCAACACCAGCACTTACCACTTCTGGCAGGTGTCCGCAGAACAACTTCTCCCTTCCTGAGCTACAGTGCTTCATCTCAGACTCCCAACTGACCAGAGATGCAGCACTGCACCTCAGGCTGGGAGACAGGCCGGCCTGCGCAGGGAGGCCGCGGGCAGGGAGGCCGGGAGGGGGCCTCTGCTCCACCAGCTCCGCCCCTCAGGCGACTGTACCCCACCTCTTCTTGGCCTGGCATTCGAACCCTCTGGGATCAAATCTCAACTTTCCTTTTATTTATTTATCTTTTTAAAGAGCTTTATGGCAACGAGGACCTCTCTCCCCTTTAAAGTGTACAATGAAATGGGTTAATACATCCACAAAGTTGCACAACCATCGCCACAATCAATTTGAGGATATTTCATCCCTCCAAAAAGAAACCTCTTACCACGCAGCCCCTCCCATCCCCATCCGCCCCAGCCCTGGGCAGACCACCTTCTGTCTTTCTAGACCTGCCTATTCTAGACATTTCAATAAATGGAGTCTCCCAATATGTTGACCCCATGCCCCCCCTTTGTGCTCGGTGTGTCCCAGCCAAACAGCACAGCCCTGGAATCTGACATTTCATACCACCCAACACCTGCCATGGCCCCTGCCTGCTCTCCCTGCTGCTACCCCCAACCCCCAGACTTCCCACCCACCCTTCCCTGCCATCCACCCAGAGTGATTTCTCCAAATACAAACATGGTCCTATCTCTCCTCCTTAAATCCTGAAAGGGCTCCCACTGCCCTCCGGCTAGATCCCGAAACCTTCACCAAAGGCTAGGGCGCCCGCCCCATCTTCCTCTCGGGCCTCTCCTCCAGGGAGCCCTGCACCCACCACCTCAGGCTCCCAGCTGCCATGCCACTCCCCTGCCCATCTGCTCTTTATGGGCTTGGTGTCTACTCAAACGGCCACTTCTTCAGGGACGCGCTCCCTGCCTTTCTCAGACATCAGGATACCCGGGGCATGTCCTCAAACATCCTGTGCCCTTTTCCTAATCCTTTGCCACAGTCTCGTTTAAGACCACCTGCACGCATGGGCTGCAGCCCTCCGTGACGGAAGGGACCCTGCCTACTGTACTCACCCTGCCTACCATACTCACCACGGAGAGCAGTGGAGACCCCACAGCATCGGCTGAATGGCTGCATCGTGTTCCTCAATCTCATTCTCTCTGCTGTCAGGGCCATTTGCATCTCGGTGGAACTGCACTGATTTCCAGTTCCCTGAGGACAACACCCACCTCTTGTTAATGCCGGGGTGTCCTGGGTTCTGCTGGGGCCTTTGTACATGATGACGGGCCCAGGGAAGGAATGTCACCCAGTGGATGATTGAATGGCGTGTCGGTAATTCCTTTTCCTCTTTAGACCTGGCTTGGGTGGGAACATCTGAGTGAGCAGGCAGAGCCCCCCTGCACTCCTCCTGTCCCCCAAGATCTCAGGGCACCCTGGGAGTATCCTCCTTCTTTTTTGGATGCCCACTGTGGTGGCCTTGATGCCAGATAACATATCTGTTCAGGGATATCTAAAGGGCAAAGGGGGGTGGGCATCCCTTTCTCAGGGCTGGAACTGAGCAGGAAAAACACACTTGATACTAAAACGCGTCTCTGATGCTCCTAGCAGAAATCTGAAATCAGGCCCCTATCCAAAAAGTCTTCTCCCTGCTCTGACATGTGGGGTAGGTCAGTCCTGATGTCCCCCTGAGCAGGCAGCCCCTTCCTGTCCAGCCAGAGAACTGCCTGCCTCGAACATATAATCCTTGTAGGAACTCTTGGCAAACCACGTTGGTCTGGAGAGGGATTCCAACACCAGGACCAGCCTTGGGGGGCCTGGGCAGCCCACAGCTCATCCACTCCTCTCTCCGCTGCCCCCGCCAGCCCTGTGAGAGAACACGCTCGCCTGACCCATGCGGAGGTTTCAGTGAGGAGTCAGGGAGGGCTGTTCCAAAAAAGGGATCATCTGCTGCCTGGAACCAAACAGATGAACCAGCCCCTGCACCCCATGGGTGCCCAGGTTTCCCCAAAGCCCTTTTACCAAAACCAGCTTTGACCTCTGGGTGCAGCACAGGGAGTGAACTGTTTGGGGAGAGTCTGTGGCCTCGGCACTCACTAGCTGCGGAAGACAGAGTGACCAGTCTGTCCATGCGCTCTCAGTCCTGTCTATCAGGAGGGGAAGCATCAGCTGGGCGCTCGCCTGTCTGCCTCTTTCCTAGCGCCTGCTTATCAGCCTCAGGCCCAGCGCCTCGCAGCCAGGGCACCGGGTGGAGTGTGATAACACCGTTTCATTTTCACTGTCTGTGTTCTGACCCTCATCTCCCAATTCTGGTCAGTGTTACAGTTTTCCATTTTTCGTGACTAGATTTAGATATTAACAATGACATCTTAAATTTGAAAATATTATGATTGTAAGAATTTTTAAAAAGGTCACCTGAGTGACTGCAATCTGGGCCACGTTTAATCTTCAGGACGGCTGATGGGGCCTGGGTCCGGCGAGGTGATGTTATCACCTCCACGTGGAGGACCCGGAAGAGGAGGAGACGGCTTCTAGGCCATAGCCCAGCTTGAAGGGGCTGGGGGTGCCAAGGGCTATTTCCAGCACATCCCACTGTCCCCCTGGGCTCAGATTGTTGCCGAAAAATAGCAGCTCTCCTGGGTGTAGAAACAGGAAGTAGATGGGGCAGTCCCACGATCCTAGGGGAGTACCTCTGACGCAGGGACAGGGGTTTGAGGCACAGCCTCTGACCAGGGGAGGGGTGTTGCCGCCATTTCCTCCGTGGTGATAAGCTGCCTAGTTGTTTCTTTATATCTAGAAAAATCGTAAGGGTGCAGACTGTACTAAGAACAGTCATTTATCGAATGTTTTAATTGGGCCGATCCCCGTGCATCCCCAAGGCTCCATGGGAAGGGAACTTTCCGAGGGCAGGGAGCGAGGAGCCGAGCTGGGATTCCTCACTCGGAACAGCCAGCCCAGGGCCCCCATTTCAACCTCTTTGCTCAATGTCTCATCCCCTGACCGACCCTTCGGGTTTGAGACAGTCTAACCATGTCACCTGTCCATCCGGCAAACCGAGTCCATCTTCCAGGGCGACGGGACTGAACTTGATGTCATCCTTGCCCTGGAGGAGTGCCTGTGGGTGGAAATGGAAGGAAAATGCAAGGCAAATAGGGGACAGACCCCAGTGGCACGTGAGCCCCAGAAAGGACTGCCAAGGGCTCAGAGGACAGAGAGGTTCCTGCCCCTGGGGGAAGCTGGGAGGGCTTCCTGGAGGAAGAGGAGCTGAGGCTGGGCTGGGGGGGCGGGGGGGCTGGCTCCCTGGTCCCTGGAACTCTTCCCTTGACTCTTGTGTGTCTTCCCAGCTGGCAGAGAGCACTGGCCTGACCGAGAAGGAGGCCGGTAGCCCTCCTATGCCACTTTCCCCACAAGAGGCTCTGGGTCCCTCGTCAGGGGATAGGGGGCCACTTGGGAATTCCGGTTCTATCACCAACTGGCTCAGTCACTTCTCACAGCCACGTCTCCTCTCTGCAGCTGTTTCCCCTTCTGTCAAAGGAGGCATTTGAAGAGGTGACCTCAGAATCTTACCTGGTACTGGCCCTTGGCGGTCTGGGGGGTTGCTCCAAGGATGAGCCGTTTCTCCTTCCTGCTCCCCACTGTCTTCAGGAAATGTCGCGGAGCCTGGGGGAACCTCTGTCTTCTGTCGGGAAGCTCCTGGGAGGCTGGGAAGGAGAAAATAAACAGTGGCTGTCTGGGTTTTCTCGCCAGGCCTGAGCCAGGAGGCCTCCCTGGCTCCTTCCCTTATATGGCCAGGCCGCTCTGGGCTGGGAGCCTGCCGCTGCGCTCCCCCACCCTCCACCACCACTGAGGGCTGGGGGCCTGCTGGTCACCTGGGACTCTGGGGCTGCAGAGGCCGGGGCAGGACTGAGGGTGGAGGGTGGGACTCAGGACTTGTTCCCATAGTCACCTGTGCAACTTGGTCCTCTGTGGCCTCTGGGCTGCAGGGGATGGACCAGGTGGGAGGATTTATAGAGGGACAAAGGGTGGAGAGGAGGGAATCCACCTGGTTCTGACTTAACCTCGAACTCACGGCGTGACCCTGGCCAAGCCCCTTCCTCTCCTGGCCTGTTTCTCCCTGTGTCAATTGAGGGCATAGAAAATCCTAATTAATCCTCACACTCAGCCCCATCGGGTGGGAGCTTTTGTTTCCCTATATCACAGAAGGGAAACTGGCTTGGAGAGGCTAATGGACCACAGCTATCCAGCAAATGGGAGCAAAGCTGGATTTGAACTTGGGGCATCTGACTTCAGGGTCTGTGCTCTGAATGGGAGGATTGCTAAGGCTCCTCTTGGTGATAATGTGCCATATGGAAAGGGGATTCTGCTGCCGCTGGTCCCTCGAAGACCAGGAGGCCCCAATATCCAATGACCAGCCCAGAGGACACTGTTTCGTTAGACAATGGGGGCAGAGGCTCTAAGACATCCATCTCGGTGTCCCCCGTACCCCACACAGGGCCTGGTGCAGACTCAGGGCTCAGCAAAGGGCAGTTGTGGAATCACTGACTAAATGAACCTCAGTAGGTTCACAAGTTCCTTCTTCCCTCTCAAGTGCCTGCCTGTGTCTCAGCCTCAGGCCATTGTCTCCTGAGCTGGATTGACAGGGTCCAGTCCTGCTCAGGTCAGCTGTGGGACCGAGATGAGGGTGGTTCCGCTCAGGGCTGGGCTCCAGCTGCAGTGACCGTGGGAGAGGCTGCAGGAGGGGAGGGCAGGCGGGGAGGTGGGGGTGGGGCTGGGTTGCTGGGAACAGCTCAGAAATGAGCCTCGCACAAGCACTAACATCCTGTGTGCTCTTGAGCTAGCCCTGGAACCTCCCTCGGCCCATCCATCATCGCAGCATCCACTCGGACCCTGGCCCTCTTCCTGGGGCCCGGGGGCGGGTCGAGGGGGGCTGGGGACTGACTGTCAGTGTGGCCGAGACACCGCAGCTGGCAGCTCTGCAGGCCTGCTCAGTGTCTGCGAGGGACAGTCGAGGGAGGAGGCGCCTGGAGCCCTCCTAATCCAATTTGTTTAGACCCAGTCTCCGAGGCTCCCTGGCTCGTGAGAGGGGGCTGGGTGTGTGCGCTGTGCCGGGGTGCACGTTTGCACACACGTGTTGGGGCGTGCAGAAGTGAACAGGTGTGCTGTGTCATGTAAGCCAGGCCTGGGCCTTGTCACATGTCCCCGAAATGTCGGCTCCTGTCCTCCTCCGCTCACCTCCAAGTCTTCCTCCACTTTTTCCATTCTTACACCAGCTGTTGCCAGAAGCCCCCTCTGCAACTGCCTGACTGTGCCGTTCTAAGTGAGTTCCTTCACCTCCCTGGGCCTCAGTGTCTCCGTCTGTCTTATGGAGCCAATGGGTCACCCTGCCTGCTCCACATGCAGGGCACTGAGAACTGGCAGACATGGGAAGAACAGGATGGGCAGTAAAAACAGCTGCTATGGTAGCTTGATGTCCACATGTGCCAAGCATTGCGCTCCGGGGCACACACCTGACCTCGAGGACCCTGTCAGAGCCCCTCAGGCTGGCTCTGTCATCACCAGCCTCCCACCGCGGCTCTACCTGTTTTAGAGTCCAACCTGTTTACTCCTTTCCCGGGAAGACTGGCATGGTTGCCCGCATTTCCCAAGTCCTGTGGTCTCTGGAGCGCGTAGGGCATGGGGTGGGGTGGGTATCTGGACTCTGGTTGTTTCCTCCTTTGGTCTCACTTGTTTCACCTTCATCCCAGACCCAACAGCCCCAAATTGCCTGCACCCCATCAATCAGCAGGGGCCCTCCACCCACTCCTCCCATCTGAGGCCTGGTTTCTCGGGCATTCTGAGGGTTAAGGTGGGGAGGGTATCCCGTGGACCCGGGTTACCACAGGAGCCACCATGGGGGTGGGGTGGTGAGGTGTGGAGTGGGGTGGGTGCTGGCGAGTGGGGTGGGGAGCACTCACAGTTCCGTTTCCAGGGTCCCCTCTGGGGTGCTTGCTCCTCCATTGTGTAGGGGTGGCTCCCGCCAGTGCCCTCTCCTGAAAGGAATAAAGATACCGCCTGTCAGGAGGTGCGGGGTGCCCTGTGGCCTTTGCAGGTTCTGCCCAGGCTGCCAGCTCCGGGGGCTGAGGATGGACCTGGGTTGCTGCGGGGTCCTTGGAAGCCTCGGGCTGAAGCTGCTGAGATTTTCCAGGCTTCAAAGAGCCGGCTGCTCAGGCCCTAGGCGGCCGCTACTCCTGCTTTGCCTGCCTGGCTTTCCAAAGGAGTTGTCTGAGCCTCTCCAACCTCTATGAGACGGGGGAGGGTAGGGGGAGTTGTGGGGGGAGCGGGGAGGCTCCCTGCTCTGAGCACACTCAGGCCGCATCAGTGAAAGAACAGGTCTGGAAGGAAATTTCCCAGAGGCCCCTCAGATCCCACCTCCAGCCTCACACATTGGGAAAGAGCCATTAAGGGGTAGATCAAAACTTGGGGTTAATACCGGGCCAGGAGCGAAGGGACAGCCCTGGGCCCATCTGGGACCGCTTCCAGCTGCACCAGGTTTTCAGCCTGCAATGGGCTCCCTCCCCCGACTCAAGGAACACTCACAACCCCCAGTGGAAGAATCGTCTCCGCTTGCTGAGCTTCAAAGAGGCTCAGGGGAGTGTCAGGGGCCAGCTTGAGCCCAGGGCTGCTCCTGCTCCATCCAGCTGTCTCCCAAACTCGGGCAGCAGCTGGCTAGATGACCACCAAACAAAGCTCACGTCATTATGGTCATTGCAAAAGCCCCTGTGCCCTTTCCTGGCCTTGCTCATTTCCAAGAAACACCAGGTACTGAGACTGGGCCACATCTGCGAGCCAGATGGCACGGCAGTGGGAGGGAGCTGATGTTGGGGCTCTGTGCCGGCTCACGAACCCCACCCACACTGGTTCTTTCAGGAGGACCCCTTCCTCGGCTCCTGTGCACGTAGGACAGCTGCTGCTCTCCTTGGGCTCCAGGGTTTCCACTTTGTTTGGAAAGAACAGAAAGGACACAGGCCCTGGAGCTAGGCAGACTCCCGCCCTAACACTCTCTAGCTGTGTGATCTAGGGCTGGTGGCTTCACCTCTCTGAACCTTGGCTTCCAACCTCCCAGTTGTTTGTGAAGGTGGAATGTCAAGTGCAAGCACAGCTGCTGGCACGTAGTAAACCCTCAGGAAGTGGCTGCCATTTCCACTATGAGCATGGGGCCAGCCCCCCAGTGAGGCCCAGGCACGGAGGAGACGAAGCAAGAAGGATGAGGCAAGGCCCAAAGTAGTACCCAGAGAAGACACGGAAGCTTCGGTGGGAGCCACCGTGTGGGGCCCTTTTCATGTCGCCTCTGTGTGGGCTGCTCTGGGCTTCTGTCCCAGAGTGCCCTCACATCCCCTCGACACTCCAGCTGAGTTCACCAGCCTCACACGCTCCCCATTTCCTCCCCAGGGAAGGTCGCTGCCTGGGGACTTTGGAGCAAGCCCTGGGAACGCAGTTTGAGGTGGAAACAAGAATGATGCAGGAAAAAGGGAAGAAAGGGGCCCGGACCTGCCTGGCCTAGAATCCCAAGCCCCCCGGGAGTAGCTGGGGTTCTGGGAGGGCGGACGGTAGAGAACAACATCCCCATGACTCTGACCAGTCTTTTTTTAGTTCTTCCCTTTGTCCTGCCCTCTGTCCTGCCCACTTTGCAAAGAACTGGGAGTTCCAGGACTCCAGTTTATGGGGACTGGGCCATGCCTTTCAGATAACAAAATGTTGGTTTCTCTTGGAATGTGTTGGATGGGAAGAGCAGCAGGTTAAGTACCAGGTCTCCTGTAGATGTGCTGTGTAATCCAGACAGGTGTCTTTTCCTCTCTGAGCCTCATCATGATGGTGGGTAGAGGACTGGACTCCAGGGTATCCAGAGTCCTCTGAGCGTCAGATAAGTGGGGATGGTTAGACCTCACGCTGTCCCCCTGGTGTGAGTGTCAGTGTGAAGGAAGGCAAATGGTCTGCATAGGTCTGCACAGAGAGAGAGAGACACTGGGCAGCAAGTACTGAGGCTGGAGCTCCCCTAGCTGCCTTGGACTTCCTTTGCCCCCCTCCCAGCCTACTGCTCAGCCCAAAGCAGCACCAGTGACCTGGATCAGGTGGATTTTCTACATCAGGACTTGAAGCCTCAGAGCATGAGTGCTGGTTTCACCCCCATTGTTCAGATGAGGAGACTGAGGCATGGAGAGCAGATGCAGTCAGTTGGGGACCCCGCTGGGACTGACCCCTCTACTCACTGAGGGATCCTAATGGCTCAGATCTTAACAAAGGGGCCTCACAGGAAGGAGGGAGAGAGGAGAGCCTTTAAGTTCCTTTGGCTTTGAACATGGAATAATCATGACTTCCTTTTCCAAATATCTTTTGGCCCTTCCTAGAACCAGATGGCGGATGTTTGGAATTTATGTTGTAAATAGTGTTTAAGAAGGGGAGGGGGAGGGGGGCAGATATGTTACTCTCTCCAACCACCAAAAACAGGATCCAAGGGAGGGAATGGGGGAGGGGAGCTGACTCTGAGAAGATTTAGGGAGAAGGGAGAAGGATCATTTGGGGAGAAGGGGAAGGAAGAGAGAGGCGAGAAGACAGAGGAAGAGAGATTGATGGAGTGAGAGTGAGAATAAGAGCCCAAAAGAAGAGGAGAAAGGCAAGGAAGAGAGGGCAATGGGTGAAGAGGGAGGAAGAGAGAGAGAAGGTGGGTGAGCGAGAGGGCGAGGGGGCTCCCTGGGTGCAGGCTCATCTTGAGTTTAGGAGCAAACCCTTGCGTTTTCTAAAAATAGTTCAGCCTTTCCCCCAGCGGGGCTGGCAGCAGGGACAAGAGAGAGGCTTGCCCTTTTATGGTAAGAAAATTCCAGATCCTCAAGGGGGAGCTGGGCCCAAGCCTGCAGTTCTGGATACAGCCCGGCCCTGGGGTCTGGTTGTGACTTGGTAGGTTTCCTGGCTTGGGTGGCACCACCTTTGGTGAGGAAAGGGCTGAGGTGGCAACGCTGGAGCTCCAGTGTTAGAGGTGGAAGGGCTCCTAGAGACACCTGGTCTACCCCATCTTTCTATTTGATAGGAGAAAAAGCTGAGTCTCACCCTGACCGGTTTGGCTCAGTGGATAGAGCATTGGCCTGCGGACTGAAAGGTCCCAGGTTCAATTCCGGTCAAGGGCATGTAACTTGGTTGCGGGCACATCCCCAGTAGGGGGCGTGCAGGAGGCAGCTGATCGATGTTTCTCTCTCATCAATGTTTCTAACTCTCTATCTCTCTCCCTTCCTCTCTGTAAAAAATCAATAAAATATTTTTTTAAAAACACCAAAAACAACAACGAGTCTCACAGAGTGGAAGAGACTGCAGGCTCCCCATGTAGGGGTTTGAGGTGTCAAGGTAAATCAGTGCCAGGTCCGCATGAGGATGGCTTACGTGCCCATTATTATGGAGGGCAGTGTGGGCAGTGGAGAGAGAGCACTGATCTGGGGTTTAGGAGACCCACAGCCCACCCCCAGTTGCTTGTGGTTTGCGGTGTGATCTTGAGCAATCTGCCAAATCTCTCTGGTCTCAGGTTCCTTCACGGGGGTGATCTTAAGGGCCTTTTGCCTCTCTGGGAATTCCAAGGCTGGAAAGCAAAACCTGGGCATAGAGGCAGTGGGCAATCTGCAGGCTGCTATTTTCTTCCCGTGCCTGGCCTACTTCCTATGCTGAAGCAAAGCTACGATGGACCAAGATAGAGAGGAGGTTCTATAGGAGACGGGGGCAGATCATAGATGGGAATCTTCAGCTGTCCAATGGTTGGGTCCAGCCCCGCACTGGACACACTGAGGCCAGAGAGGACCTTCTGTTCAAGATCATGCTCCAGGCCATGCGGAGAGTTGGGGCAGAACCAGGAAAGAACCCGGCCTTGGGCTTTTTCCTCTACAGGAAGCCTCCCATCTGCAGCAGCTGGCAACTTTGGGGACCATCTGTGGCCAGGAAAGGGGCCTTTCGGAGCAGAGCAGACAGAACTCAAGATACGCCTTCATCGTCTGACTGCCTCTTAAAGACAGGCTGTCCTGGCAGGTCACCACCTCCCCTTGGCCCCCCTCCCTTGGCTGCAAGCACCTTACCATGGTCTCATCTCTGGCTGGAAGGCAGGAAAGAGGCGAAGAAGGATGCATAGGACAGGGCAGCCCCTCTGGCAGTGTGGTCTCGGGCAAGTTTCCCCTTGTTAGCCTTGGGTTCTGCATCTGTAACACAAGGAGACAGCCTTGAAGATGCTCTTGACAGGATTGTCAGCCCTAACGGGACTGTGACACAGTGAGGTTAGCACTCAACACCAGGGGAGGTTATGAAGCAGGCACTGGGTTCACCAGGTGGATGAGATGTTGCTTTACAGTACGTTGAGTCGGGGACCCAGAGCCCAGGGTTCCTGGTGGCCCCAATCCTCTGTCAATTCTGGGAGCCTGGACCCAGAGCTCAGGTAGCTCTGGTCTTGAGTGTCCAGGAATGCTTGTTGGCCTGATCCGTGTTCATGCCCACTCCCCAGGACCCTGCCCAGGACGTTGCCCTTCCCTCCACCCTGTCCCACATAGCTGCCCACCTCCCCAGCCCCTGCCTGGCCCCCCTCCCCATCTGCCCTGCATCTCCATCTCTCCATAGGCAGTCTTTTTGTGACTCAATCCAAAAAGGAGGCTTGCTTTCCTCTTCCAGCCTCCTGTGACTGCCCCCCCTCTGACCCCCCACCTACTGCTGAGGGAAAGGAGGGACAGGAAAGAAAGGGGCCAAAAATAAAGCATCTTGTTCTAAGCTTCCCTGTGACCCTCCTGGAATTTCCATGTAAACTCTCTGGGGCGTGTGAACAGGGCTCTCAGGGACCCTGGTCCCCTCTGCCTCAGTCCTGCTGGGTGGAAGGCCATCGGCTGAATGTCCCCCAGAGACCCAGCCTCACAACCAGGCTCCAGGTCTCCCTGGTGTCCCTGGGAAGGGCAGAAGGCAGCAGTGTGGTGAAAGGAAGTGGGAGGGAAGGGAGTCCCTAGAGGCCCCCATGCGCAGCCAGGGCAGAATTGATGTCATGCCCAGCTGGGAATCTGACATTCAGGCAGGAGCGGGGCTCAGCCCCATGAGACTGGCCCAAGGCAGCCCGGGCTGTGATGTGAAGTCCCAGTCTGGTAGTGGGAAAAGCCTGAAGCCTCATGTTTAACTTCTCGCTACGGTGTCACTGCTGAGGTTGCATACCTCCGGTGATGGGGAGCTCACTGCTTCCCAATCACCTATCCCTCTTTGGATAGACTGTTGGAGATTCCTTCCCAATATCCTGACGACATC